AGCACAGTCTGTACAAGACTTTTATAAAAATGTATTGGGGAAACAAATTCAAAATAGTTTTTAAACTTCAATATTGAGCAGAAAATATTTTTAAGGGCAAAGTCTGTCTTGACTGACTTTAATGAAAATCTATTTAAAATCAAAATCGTCCAAAGCAGGAAATAAAATGGAGATGTTACTGTTTTGCCGTATCGCCCAGCCCTGTCGGGTTCATGGAGAGATACATAACAGAGGAATGAGGAGCACACAAACACAACACTATACTTAGGAAATGAAAAAACGTAATAAAATCTCTATCTTTAGCTAAATAAAGTCAACTGTATGGCTCGGTTCCAGCTTGATCCTGCTGTGATGAGCCACATTAGCGCTACAGTGTGAGGCGGGTTCTTCTAAACCCATTAGCACCTCGAGTTCATTTCTCTGCCGCTCTGTCACACCGCGTTACTACACTTTTGTCATCTCCAGCCGAACACAGAAACCAAGCAACACTTTCAACATTCACAAACCCAGATAGCTCTCAACCATCAGATTAGGAGTGGGAAAAAGAAGCAATGGGTGCAACTCCAGCGCGTTCATAATTAAGCGATAATTCATAAACGCCAATTCTCTTTATGACCTCACACTTTCAAACGACTAATGACGCTGGCAACTTTGATTCCTCCGACTCATTTGAAGCCCGCCCACCTGCTGCTACGCGGTGGCTCTTTGCTTATCGGAATCTCTAATGAGCTTTCATGGTCCTCAATGTTAATACAGCCAAAAATGTTATAGAAGTAAAATGACTGTTTGTGTTCAAGCCTCCAGCAAAATGTCTTTATGAGCTCAAAGTCACCCCAGTCCCTCACGGAGCAGCTGGGCCCATTCACACTGAGCTGTGCTGTATGCAGACATCTGCCTGGTGTTTCATTAGAACTCACTGTCACTGTCCACTCTGGAGGAAGCCAAAGTTATGTGGGGACAGAAGGACGTGTCTTACTCTATGGCAGTGGAAAACTCATGTGGCACTGTGGAGCATCTTCATTCAGCTTCTGTCATGGTGCGGATTTGTTGTTGTTTTGTACTTGGTTTTATTTATTTTTAGTTTGACGTCCTGTCCTGTTCCCCTGTTGATTGTCTGCCCTGCCCTGATGTGTTTCACCTGTGTCTGTGTCTATATGTACCTGTGTTTGTGTCTATATGTACCTGTGTTTGTGTCTATATGTACAGTATCTATGTTTGTCTGTGTCTATTATGTACATGTGTGTCTATTATGTACCTGTGTGTCTATATGTACCTGTGTGTCTGTGTGTCTATGTGTACCTGTGTTTGTGTCTATATGTACAGTATCTATGTTTGTCTGTGTCTATTATGTACCTGTGTGTCTATATGTACCTGTGACTCTGTGTCTATATGTACCTGTGTCTCTGTGTCTATATGTACGTGTCTCTGTGTGTCTATATGTACCTGTGTCTGTGTGTCTATGTATCTATGTTTGCCTGTGTCTATACAGTATGTACCTGTGTGTCTGTCTATATGTACCTGTGTGTCTATTATGTACTTGTGTCTCTGTGTGTCTAGATGTATCAATGTTTGTCTGTGTCTATTATGTACCTGTGTGTCTATATGTACCTGTGTGACTCTGTCTGTGTCTATATGTACCTGTGTGACTCTGTGTGTGTCTATATGTACCTTTGTGACTCTGTGTGTGTCTATATGTACCTTTGTGACTCTGTGTGTGTCTATATGTACCTGTGTGACTCTGTGTGTCTATATGTAATTGTGTCTCTCTGTGTCTATGTGTACCTCTGTGTGTGTACCTCTGTGTGTGTCTATATGAACCTCTGTGTGTGTCCATATGTTGCTGTTACTGTTGTTGCTGCTTGTCTTTGTCAGTCTTTGCTCCTGAATTTCATTTGGATTTTTGGTTCTTTTATAGTTTTTATTTATTTACTTTTTTTAATGAACACCACATACATAGACAAACAAAGTGAAAACATTTAGACACAGATTCTTTGATCCATAATTTAAGTATCCAGACCAGTACCCGGTCCCACTACTCACTTGTTTGAAGTGTGCCTCTTCTCCACCTGATCAATCCGCTCCTGCTGAGAGAAGCGTGAGGGGCCCTGCTGTTCCCGGGAAGCCGCCGCATAAACTCTGAGGGGGAATGTTGCATTATGGGTATATTTGGGTGTGTGGTGCATTAAAAACCACTGTAGATGTGTGATGCATTAAAAACATAGATGCGTGTATTGTGCTTTAAAAATCATCGTGCATTATGAGAGTTGTGTGCTGCTGCTTCGGCGGGACAGACTAGAGTTTAGAACAGGACAAATTAAGGAGTAAAACAAGTAGTGGGTACGGGAGGATGGGTATACAAAAGGGATGAGTAAAACAAAAAATAATTGTAATTGCTTACACAAGGGAAGCTCTCCAAGACACTGAGAGGAGTCTGAGCATGTGGGTTTGTTTTGAGGAGTGGGACTTTGGGGAGAGGGGTGATCGTTGTGGGAGCAGTGATTGTAAAAGTTGAAGGGTGTTACGGGTGAGATCAGCGTGTTTGTGTGTAAGATGTGGTTGTGTTTAGAATATGTGTGAGTCTAGGTCAAGATTTTTGGTTTTAACCCTGGACTTTTATTGTATTATCTTCAAGGTATGCACCGATACTCATGCTGGTATCAAGTATTGGGTCGATACCATTGGCTTGTACTCAGCACTCATACCATATGACCCGGTGCCTGCAACCGAAAGCACTTGACGCTAGCTTAGCAGCAAGCGGATGTCGACCATATGGCCTTTTTTTCCCTATAGAAAACGAGTAACAAGAATAACAAAAGTAAAGCAGACTGGACGATGGGTCCAAAACAAACACGTATAACACCAGAAACTTGATCAAACATCTGAAAACTATAACACCTTTGTTAGCACCGCAGCACAAAAGTTTGTTTCCTTATTTTTTACTGTTAAAGCATTTTCTTGTTGTTGGAATGAGAAATAAAACATCCCTTCTCTGTGACTCTACAGCTCTCTCCCACTCGCTCTGTACGAGTTAGGATTAAGAGCTAAGGATCTAAAAACAACCAGTTAAAAGTTCAATCCAGTCAATCTTGCATATCTCCTTTAACTAATGTATATAATATATGTAAGGAGAAAACCAAAATCTTTTATTAAATCCGTCCCATATTTAACTTGTTAGATAGACACAATAGTTAGACATATTTCAATAGTTAGACATATTAAAATAGTTAGACATATTACAATAGTTAGACATATTTCAATAGTTAGACATATTAAAATAGCTAGACATATTAAAATAGTTAGACATATTAAAATAGTTAGACATATTTCAATAGTTAGACATATTACAATAGAGTGTATTTTCACCTTTGTGCCTGCAGCTCCTTTGATCATACAGTATGTTTGGTCCGACGTGCAGAGATTAAAGCTCGGCTGTTGTGTTTATGTATTCCCCATGGTACTATACACTGCCAGTAATTAAGTCTGCAGTCGCTAACTCTACCACAGTCACGCTTGCTAATTATATATGAAAAACTTATCATTATTCCTCTGTATAACGACCCTTGGCCCTCATTAAAGTGTAGGTGTGAGATGAAGAAGGGGGGCCTTTTCTTATAACGTGGGTCAAGTCTGGCTTATTTTGCACTTGAATTCAATTTGATCAGTGATATTCTTCAACATCAGACCTCAACAGAGCTTAATAATATAATAATAATTACGGTTAATGGGGCTGCCAGTAACGAACCAGCTTTGGTGCTTTCAATTAGAAAAGCAAACACAGGCTGTGCAGAGGCAGACGCAGCATGGGGTGGGACAGCAGTGGCGTGTCTGAGTAGGTTTCCTCTGGGTGCTCCGGTTTCCCCCACCACTACAAAACATGCACATAGGTCTGAATGTAAGGAGTGAGTGCATGGATGGTGTTTGGACAGGGGCTTTGATCATCACCGTGTGGAGAGAATGGAGCAATATCTGAACTCTGAACATTGGTCTGTGAAATGCGCTGTATAATAAAGATGACTTACTTTCTTACATGGGGAAAGCTGGGGGAAAGTTTTCTGGATGATGGAGGAGTGGACACGGAGGCAAGGTCCTTCTCCTGAGCCTTAGTTAAATCTATATAGGAGGATTTTCTACTGCCGGGTGGATCATCAAGACTATTGATCCTCCCAATTGTCATACTAAAGAGCCTTACCCATATGGCTGGGAGCTGATTGGCTGAAAAAGCTGATGTAAAGCGGTGATACAGGCCAAAATGACATGCTTGTGAAAACTAGAGATAAAATTAAGCAGTTTTGAGATCAAGGAACTAATTTCATGGATTTCATTGTTCAGCTTTTTCAGGTTTGAAAATTAGGCACCCCAGCTTTAAAGAGGCTTAAAACATTCGGGTTGAAGCAATTATTGATTTTTGTGCATTTGTAATTGTCAAATTGAAAACATATGTTTCATTGGAACTGCTGAATATTGTCATTAGTCTTAAATATGCTTCAGGCCAATAATACAGTAAATGAGGTGAATACAATTGTTTTGAAATATGCAGAAGACACTTATTTTTATTTACAATTTAATATTTTTAAATGCCATGTTTACCATGTAGGTATAGGCAGTCAGAGTTCTTGCTAGGATATTTTTGTGGACTCGGGTCCCGCCCAATTTTCAAACTATGAAGTTAAAACCTTTCGAAGACAAGCACAGGTTAGACCCTCCCATGCTCTCCTCCGCAGACCCTCATCAGTGGTTTAAACATTGTCCTTCTGAAAATGTGGGCATAGTTCTCCCTTCTCTTTGGCCAAGAGAAGAGACTATTTTGAATTTTTTATTTTTTATTATTGATTGAAAAATACTTACTGTTCATCATAAAATAGCGCTCCATGGTCAGAAAAATGAATTATTTTACAAACGAAATACAGTTGAAGTTGTTGAATTGGACCATAAATCAATCAAATTACCCCAAAAAGCGTACTTAAAGTCTGTGGTTGTTGTTGTTGTTGTGGTGTTTGCAGATAGCCTGTCAGCTCCTGTCAATGTGACCGTCAGAGAGGTGCGAGCTCGCTTTGCTGTGGTGACATGGGACATCCCCGAAGGAGACAACGTGATCGGGTTTGCCATCACACAGCAGGTTTGTCCAAACTCAGTCCCACTCACAGCTCGGTGTCTGCTGACTCATAGTTACAACAATAAAATGGTTTTCAATGATCACCGGCATTTCAAATCATCAGTGCTTTTCAACTGTTCACGGCTGCTCCTGCGAGTGATTTGTGCAGTCAAAAGAATGATTATGGAACAATTCAGGTCATATTTTTATTATTATCATTACTGATGTATAGATAAAGTTTTCTTTTATTTTCTGTTTTAGACTCAGACATCAATCACCCCAATAGTAAATTAGTAAAATTACAGATGAAGACAGTCAGTATCAGTATGTAATAACGTATATGTCTGATGTTATCCCAGAACATCATAGATTTCCTGCAAAAATTAGAGAAAAAAAATCCTTTTATAACCCAAGATGTCCAACATTGTCAGATCGTGTGTCTCTTGAATACACGTTTCAATGTAATCCTCTCAAAACTTTCCTATTGAATAATAATGTTTACCTAAGGATCCTTGAAGACCACCTGATTTTACAGAGAAGAATCCACAGCACTCATCTTCTCTCTCAGTGTATAATATTGTTTACAAATGAGGCCTTTCAGAAACATCTTCAACCTTTTCATAATTCGTTCCACTGAATCTTTCACATCCAAATGTAAGACAATGTATATACTTTATGTGTTTGCCTGATAACTTTGGTTTCCCCTCAGAAAAAAGACGTGCGCATGCTCCGGTTCATCCAGGAAGTCAACACGACCACTCGCTCCTGTGCATTATGGGACTTGGAGGGGGAGACCGACTACATTGTGCACGTCCAGTCCATCAGCATGTCTGGTACGAGCCCACACAGCGAACCCCTGCGCTTCAGGACGCCCAAAGACACGGACCCTCAGGCCACTAAGAGCAAAGGTAATGTGATAAAACAATGTCCCGCAGAAATAACTTTGACTTAACATAACATTTTGTAACAGAGTTCAACGGGGGTTTTGGCTTTTTGACAATCTCCACTGTTTCTAGCCAAAGACCTATAAAAATCAATAGCTGCAGTAAGCGTGAAATGAAATCTTGCTCTGGAGCACTCCTAAAGCTCACCCTTGCTGACCACAACTCAGGAATAAAAGAGCTGAGGTGGGTGTATACTTGACTGTATTGATGTGCCTCTCCGGGCTTCACCTGCATGCGGCCCGTCCACAGAGAAGCAAAATGAGGAGAGCATTCATCAGACAGCAGCGGCTTCGAGCTGTAAGGGACAAGTGATCAATAGACTCTGGCCAAAGCCGTCCTGCATCTATTTCTGCTCTCATTTGCACTCATCTTTGGTCGAAGCTACGGCCAGGGCCACGCAGTGTTAATAGAGGGGTATTGAAAAAATGTTGATCTATGAGCCACTATTTGTGAGTTGTTCATTCAACAAATATGTGTACAATACAAGTGTTGAGTATTTCTATTTATACTCATTGTGTATCAATCTGAAAGGTTTCTACTGAGAATTTCTTACTCTGAATAAAGGCAGTATAGTTTAGTACAACAGTCAGTACTCACACTGAAAAGAAGAAGGGAGAATGAAAAAAAACTATATTTTTCTACTGCAGTGGGTGTCCACAGGATGAAACCGGACGGCTCCTACTGTTGTTTCTATTGTTTGTGGTCAGTATTTTAAAACTCAGAGAGAGAAAGCAAACATGGTCCAATCAGCTGTCAGGGTTGTCCCTTCATGTGGAAACAGCACTACATTTTAACTGTTGTCCAATATCCACCGGCCACCTTCAGCTGCCTCAGTCCTGAAGAAAAGTGCTCAAAAAGATGCTATCTGATCTATCTTCACATGAGGTCTAAAGTCCTGCACATCTCATGTTGTTGTTTCAGACGAAGTGACCATGGAGGAGGTGGGTCAGGCCACACAGCTCCGAGCTGGAGAGCTCATCATCATTGTGGTGGTTCTGATCATGTGGGCAGGTGAGACTTTAGCATCTGTAGAGCTGAGAACAAGTAGGAGACCTCAGAGACTTTAGCCTCTGTAGAGCTGAGAACAAGTAGGAAACCTCAGAGACTTTAGCCTCTGTAGAGCTGAGAACTAGTAGGAAACCTCAGAGAGGTCAAATGGGGCTGTTGACTGAAACTCCGTCACACTAGAAACCCGCTCTGTGCTGCAGGTGTGATCGCTCTGTTCTGCCGTCAGTATGACATCATCAAAGACAACGAGCCCAACAACAACAAGGACAAAGCCAAAAACTCTTCAGAGTGCAGTACTCCTGAACATCCAACAGGGGGGCTGCTGCGCAGTAAGGTATAACCCACCCCTCTTTCCCTGGGTGCTCCCTCCTCGGCGCTGGGCAGGTGAATCGTGCTGGCCACTTTTATTCCGAATATTTCCACTTCATGCACAGCCACAGTCATCAGAGCCTCTGCTGCACAAAACTATTGTTTATAGCTGCCCTCCAGATAAAGTCTCAGACTGCTTCTTTTGATTAAGTACAGAGCCCCATTTCATTCCCTCTATGTTCAAATCAGCCCCAAACAACCTATTCTTCTTTGCTTCGACAACATTCAGGCGCTGAAGCATCCTTCTGCTCATTGCATGATTTGAGTAGGTCCCTGTGAGCCCCTGTCCTCTCATACCCTCTTCTGTTTTCTCCTACAGTTTGCCAAGAATAACAACAGGATGCCATCAGTCAACATCATCGAAGTGTGACTGGCTCAGACTGCAGCCTTCTGCTTATTGTGATGAGGCGTATGTCCTCTCTCTGTCCCAGCACAGAGATGTGCTCCGCGGTCACACACTGGCCAGGGGCTCTGCGCTGCAGCAAAGGCAGCTGAGACTGGACCCCAGGGACCAGAGCGATACAGAGCCAACACTGCACTTGTTTGTTCAATGTCATACGTATTCAAAAGTTGCCTAGAACCAGTGTTCTGGAATTTGTTGCAGACATTGAATTGAACTGGATCCAGTGGGACGTACAGTTGAGTTTCTTGGACGGACTCGAAGCTCACAGATGTAGAAGTCCCGTCAGAGACTGGTGCAGTTTGGATCCTGCTGTTGAACTTTGAAAGACTCACTACAATATAACATTCCAAGTCCTGGATGAGCCCTTTCTACTCCTGCACCTGTATGAATATATTGTCTTTATATTGCAAAGACAGAGGTTATGTAGTGCTGAACATCCAGAGGGACAGGTCCCTCATATCAGCAATAACAGCCTTCAGTGGAGCTCCTCACATTCAGGCAGTGGTCAGAGACTGTGGGAGCGTGCATGAGTGCGGACGCCACACTTCCTGCTCAAGAACACGGACACTCGTCTTGAACAGATGAACGAAGGGCTTCTTTTCTCAGAACCACATTTGTGTAGCAACCACAACTACTGTAAAAGGGATCAACTTTTGCCATATGGTACACTGTATTATGTGTAAAATACTTACTTTTGACTTGGCTGGATCAGTCATGGAGCTGTTTGAGCATGACAAGTTCATGTTTTAGGGCTGATTTTATTTATGTAGTAACTGCCTTAATGTTTTGTTCTTTTACTCGAGTAGGTGAGCTCCATTGTGCTTAAAATACTACATGTAAATATTTGTTATTGTTTGTATATGTCAGCTGAAGCTCAAAGCAATTATCCATGTAGATATGGTCTCCCTATTTAATGGGCCATTTATTTATACTCTTATGCCCCACGTTATTGTATCATTTTCAATTACTTATTCCAGAAATTTGTACTTCGACAACTACAAAATAATGGATATAAAAGTCAGAGTTAAAGGAACAGCTGTTTTATTATAATTATACACCCTTATCTGTGTCCCCAGATACGAGGAAATCATTCAAATCAAATATAACAGTTTTCATTGTTTATATTATCTTATATAACAATGGATATAACACTTCTTTACTCTGTGTTGCCAGTTTCAATGGTAGTAACCAGTGTTAAAAGCCCCAAACCTGAACCCAGCACTTAAAGCAAGGTGTCATGACCCTTAAATGGCAACACAAGTTTAGTTGAAAATTATACTTTTCAACTTGCAAACTTTGTGCAGACTTTGTTGACCAACATTAATTTCATAAATCAATGGTTGATGTTGTGAAGGAGTACGTTCAGAGGGGAAAAGAACTAATGCAATGGGAGAGTTTTATCACTCTGCCTCCTCTTTCCCCGAGTACGAATAACACCTTCTCCCACTTTCCACCACAGCCTGGAGCTTTGGGTCTTCAAATAACTTATGTTGAGTTTAGCAAAACAACACTGCTCTACACATGATCTACACTGCAAAAAGTGATGAAAAATAAGTCAAAAATTGCTCAAATTTGGCAAAAATGCATCTTAATTTGAGCACATTTTGACTGCCTTAAAACAAGCTTTGCCAATGGGACACAGCAAAATGATCTTGTTTTTAAAATATAGAAGAGATGTCTCCCTTGGAATGAAAAAAAATAAAGCAACAGTTTTTAAAATCAGACAAAATGGCTTTTCTTATTGGCAAATCTTCAGTCAGAATGTATTCAAATTAAGATAAAACCACTCAATTCAAGCAATTATTCTCACATTGTAACATTTCTTGCAGTGTAGGACCCATCCGACATAAACGAGAGCCGAAAGTCTTACTAAACCTGTTTTCTTGTTCACGGTGTGGCATGGCGTGGAAACGTTATCAGTGAAGTCTGTATTTTTATTGTGTGGTCACGGACTAATGAGGGCTAGCATGGTTTTCCTATGGTGCACAAGGTTACACGGCTTCAGTTTTGAAGAGAACAAGTGTATGCGTCCTTGTGCATGCGACAATAAAATTATTTTCCACATTACCTTTTTGATTTCTTCAACTGAGCATTTATTGGGCTCCAAACACATCACAAGGAAACATTATATTACAGTGAAAAACGGACGACTTTAGGACAAGTCAAGTGCTTCTGTACAAAAAAAGTCTCACAAAGATGATAGAACAAGATGGAAGCCGGACACAGATTTGGTAAACAAGCATGAACGAGCGTTTCGGCAGATTTTTGTTAAAACAATTACTGTAAAACATGCTTCACCACAGATATTAGTTACATAGATACACACAATATTCTGATTTTCAAGTGCTTGTACATGCAAACAAGCGCAATATTAAACAACAAATACATAAAACACTCTTTATAACACTTCACAAACACTGAAAACGTATTCAAAAAAGGCACAACATGCGGTTAGCAGCGTCTGAAGAGCTTTGGGATTCCGGCAAATCGCTTGTAGGTGAAGTCCAAGCTTTTATCATAATCTTGAAGTGACACTCGGGTGGGTTTAAACCTTTGTACATAATTTCTGAGGAACATTAAAAAAAAACATAAACAATTGTCCGACAGGGGTTTGAAAGTGATTGTTTTTAAGAGGACAGACATGTACCTTCTGGTCAGGTCTGAGGGATGTGGCCGCTGTGTGCTTCCATCGTGTGCCACAGCAGACATGAGGTTCATGAGCTCCCCCAACACACCTGCATCACAACACACAGATTATACTAAAGGAAGTGTCTCGGGTTTCGAGGACTTTCCCAGCTTGACTCCATTGGTGTGAGTGAGTAAGGAAGTAAGTAATGTTTATTTATATAGCGCATTTTACAGACCAAGGTCACCCAAAGCGCTTTACAAAGTTCAGAGTCAGATATTGTTCCAATCATTCCACACGCGGTGATGACAGAAGCGAGTCCAGAACACACTGGACCATCAGCTCCCAATCAACACCATCCATTCACTCTCTCATTTACATTCATACCTATTGTGCATGTTTTTAGTGAGAAAACCTACGCTGACACAGGGAGAACATGCAAACTCCACTCAGAAAGGCCCTGCTCCGACCGGGAATCGAACCCAGGACCTTCTTGCCAGGAAGCAGTTAAAGAAATGTCTACAGTATTGTCTCTCCTGACATTTCTCAGGACTCATTCGGCCATCTCCTCGGTCTACTTCCTCCCCCTAAACTTTGATCACTTTAAAGCTGGAGTACCCGCCTTTAAAATAACTACAGTAAGTGCTAAAATCAGTCTAACTAGTTTTTAACACTTTGGTTCTATCGTAAGTTCACATTCGTGTAGTTTTGGCGTCTGACTCACATGGCTATTTATTAGAAAGAGTGTGTTTTCTAATAATAATGTGGTCTGATTGGTTGAGACGGATCAAAATGTAGGATTAATTAAACTAAATTAGACAGCTTTTAAGGACTATGCTAGCAAAGGGCTGTTCTTTGACAAAACATCAGTTCACATTCTGGTTATGGTTAGGGCTAGAATTTGAACTTTGGTTATTCTTAGGGTTTTGGAAAAAAAGTGAGTTTGGAGACATATGGTGCTATCTCCAGCCAATCAAACGTCCTCACACACGTTGAGAAATGGTGAAATTGAAGATATGAGGCAACATCTGTAAGACGAACCAGGAAATTCTACCACACATACTGTAATTCGATCTAATGTTGAGGATGATTAACATACGCTGACATTTTGAATACTCAATAGAAATGTTCATGCTTCTTCTTTCTATCCAACAGTAAATGATGTGTACTAAAGAGTTCAAGAGCTCAATGAAAAGAAAAAAGTTGTTCAACCGGTCATGGTCACTTTACATCTCATCTCATGTAGAAACCCCCGACTAGAACAGAAAGTGGCGTGGTAATGAGTGAAAACCTCCATAATGTGTGCAAAGACATCACCTTGGTTGGGGGGCCGCTCCCTCATGTGCCTTGACACAGCATTGATATAGTTTCTTTTTTTCTCCTCTTCACTTTAAAGAGAAAAACAAGACAAAACATGAGTCAAGCACTAGTTTTTACATTAGGACCAGAATAAAACAAACAGCACATACTTGTGTATGTGTGGGCGAACAGCTCTCTCTACTGGAGGACGCTCCAGAGGCACCACCGGGATCACAGGGACCACCACAGATTTGACCTGAAATTGAAAATGTCATAAAAAAGTTTTTAAATTAAAAACAATGAACCTGAAGACCTTACAAGTTCACAAAATAAAAGTATTGTAAATCTTAAATGCTTATAAATGCAACAAACATGATGTACAGTGGTTTGATTACACAGACCTCAAGGTCAACCATTCAGAAAAAAACATGAAATAGTAAGAAAAAGAGACTGCCCAAACAGAAACATAATGGAAAGACGACCTTTAAAGTTCAAGATGCAGAACGATCTATCGGAAAGATGCTGGTCAAAATGTTTGGAACTTTTATAAGCAGACTTTGCTAACATTATTAAACAGTAACTTTTAAGAAATAAAAAATACAATTTTGGGTTAAATAACATCACTGCCACAGCCACAGAGTATTTATATAAAATGGTTTTGATTTTTTGTTTAAAATAATACAATGATCAAAGCAACAGTAAATTGTATACCGGATGATTCATCGAATTGAATGAATTCAATGAATCATTACAGCCACGACTAAAAAGTCCACAATTATGAGGACAATTAGAGCCACACTGAAGTGAACATACCTGCACCTGTAGAGGCAGAGTGGACTCCCACTCACTCTGGTTCTGGCTCTGGTTCACAGAGTTTTGATCACCAGAGTCACAACCGACCAGTGAGGACTCAAACAGGGGAGGTCCAAGTTTGAGGACCCCCTCTGGACTTTGGACACCATCCTGTGGTGCTTCAAAGGACAGGGAGAAGTATCCATCGTCCCCTCTGTCCTGCAGACACAAAAGGCTGTCCACATCCTCGTCAAAGGGCACGGAGGTCCTGCGCACACAGTCCTCTCGGGAGGCAGAGAAGCAGCCTTCATCTGGGGACGTGGTCTTCAGCCGCTTTGGGGCTGGCTCAGGAGTACAGTTGTTCTGGATCTGTATCTTCAAATTGACGTAGCTTCTTTTGGACATGTTAATGATTCCTGGAAGAAAAACATGTTGATACTGGATAAATGGGATAAGGATAAGATTGCTGCATGAAGCACACATGTGTGTGGGTGTGCAAAGTCATCCTCCACACGTTTCTATGTGCAACCAGTTTGGTTTTTTATCCCCTCATTGACCCATTAACAACATATAATAATGATTTGAGGTTTCTGTCAATTTAAATGAATGAAGGTAACATTTGGACTTGAGACTCAAAGCACAAGACTCTTGTCTGTTCTTTTTAGCCTAAAAAGTGATCGGGCTTTTCCCACATCACATTTTGTGCACTCATATTCTTATAGATCCATGACTCACGCACGAAGGAAAACGTGAGTCCCAAGTTACACCAGTAAATAAAGTACTGCTGTGGCAGTGTTGTGGTGGCATTGAGCTAGTGCTAAAAACAATCTACAAACTTACCCAATAATCCATCTACAGAGTCAGGATGTGTTACTGGCGATCGTGGAAAATGGGTTTTTAGTTACTTGAGGTATTTACCGAAAATTATCTAGTATTCGTTACCTTTAGTCCTTTCCGACAGAAGTGTGGTGTGTCCGTGGCCTCCGTGCCACACGTGGTTCAGTTCATAGTCTGCAGATTTCAGGAACTTTAATGATTTTCTATGTCTTTGAACATTTGTTTTAGGAAGAACAAATGCATTTAAAGCTATGATTATAACCAATATTCACAAGAGTTCAAACAACCCAACACTGAACAGCTGCTGTTGTTAACCCTTTCATGTGCAATGGTACTTTAGTCAATATTATTCTTGATATTTAGCATTATATTAATCAATCTAACTACTTATAACGTTGATACCATTTTAATAAAGACACCCAGGTTGTAAAATACTGAACAATTTCAGAAAAATAAAATAATTACGGTTTATATAGCTCACTATTTTACGCTTTGGGTTAAACAGGTGGTGTTATTAAATTATTATGTTATTTCTAAGTCTATCAATGGCAAAACTAAAGATGCAATACTCAGATTTGTGATTGATTTTGGTTTAAATAGTTACAGATAGTAAACCCTTTAGGCGCCAGAGTCCTTTTAAATGAAATAAATCACATCCATGAGAGAATCAGACGAAAGAGGGAGCTCTGATACTTTAGAAGAGACAGAGGACTAACTTTAGTAACATCCATATCGTACGTAACCTAAATAAAGAGAAAATATGTTTTAAAAAAAATAGCTAGCTAGGTCTGTTATTGGCGCCTAAAAGTCAATCCATCCTAAGAAAACGTGCCTGTAGCATGCTAAAACTTCACAAAATACGTCTTTTTTCAATTGCTGCTGGTTTTAATGTTAGTTTTATTTGTTATTTTAAATGCATCTTTATTACAGACGAGAATTCAATTGGACCATCGGCAATTTTAAAAGAAAACATGTTTGATAGAGAAAACAAAATGCAGGTTATATACACAAGAAATAGTCCACAAAGTTCTACAGGTGAGCGTGAAGAGCAACAGCATTTTTTATTTTATTTTTTGTGTGCAAAGTTATTTTTTAGCTTACCTTCAGTATCTGTGGCAGTAACGTGCTTCCCCATCATGGACTCCCCATCCGGCTTCTGCATCCTCCCACATTTGAAAACTTTCACTATGTCACTATGGCAACGCTGCTTATTTTTAATCATTCTTAAAGCCACCGCTAGAGGGCAGTGCTCCCACAGACTGGAAATATCCCCTCGCGTTCTAAACATGGGTGTTTTTTAAAAAAGCTGGGGTAACTTTTAAACTTGCAAACAAATACAACTGATTTTATTTTATTTTGTTACATATTATTATTACCCTCCATAAATTGGCCGAACCTGCATGTGAAAGCCCGATCTTGTGCGTAATCTTTATTTTTTTTATTTATTATGCAAGACCTCTGAAGTAAAGCAGGGCAGGGCCTCGTCAGTACTGTGATGGGGGATTTGTGGAAACACCAGGTGCGTGTGTGTGCGTGTGTAGGGTACAAACTGGTTGCCTCGCTAGTATAGTGGTTTACCATGACTAGCTATGTATGGAGTGAATGAACAATGAAGCGCCTTTGAGTGTCCAAACAAAAAAATGCTATATAAAACCGATTTATCATTAGTTTGGTTGTATCACTAGTATAGATTGTAAATATCACTATTCTTAAAGTGAAAGTTAACCAGCTCTCATCCCAAAGAGATGACGCACAGGGAATTGTATTATAATTAAAGCCGCAAGCGGCGTCGAACGGCCCTCGCCGCACTGCGCAACCCCCCGCACCGCGCGCACCACCCCGTACCAAGCCGCCCTGCACCACGCCGTCCCGCATCACGCCGCCCCGCACCAAGCCGCAACGCGCCGGTCCACAACGCCCCGCACTACGCCGCACCACACCGTACCACGCAGCACCGCTCAAAGGAGGTGGCGCCGCCGTGTGGTGATTTGTTTCCATAGCCATAGAAGATTGTTAGTCAAATTGTAGTAAATATGATCAGTAGAGCTGGTTTGGCTCCCCATGTAAACTTTGACTCAGTCTTTAGGGGGCGCTAATGGGCCAATTTCAAATATTTCACTTTCACCTGATCTAAACCCTGGAGTTGAACATTGGATTCAAGTTTAATGCAAATCAGACTTTGTTTGTGAAAACGGGAAAAAAATTATGTTGTCAAAAACTGCCAAAAAATCCCTCACATTTTGCCGCTCCGCTGCTCAAACGTTTCACTGATCAAAATTCCCTGAAGTCATTTTGAAGGTACATGTTTTGAGATGATGTGGAGCGATTTTGAGGCGAATCGGTGAAACGGCCGAGGCTGGTTTGATGTTTGTGTGAGGTGTACATTTGCAATGAATGGGGAGCGTTTGTCGTCGCCACGGCAACAGGGTAAAAAATAAGCCATGGACCCTGTTGACTTTTTTAATCAAGAGGGCAAAACAGATTTATGTGCAAAATTTCAAACATTTTGAAAAAACTAAATTTGAAAATGCCCATCTAGAACTTTGAAATAGTCTGTAGGGGGCGCTAATGTGTCAATTTGAATCAATTCACTTTCAAATGACCTAGACCCTAGAGTTGAACAATGTATTAAAGTTTTGTGCAAATCAGACCTTGTTTGTGCAAACGGGAGCAAATTTAATGTTGTCAAAAACGGCCAAAAAAAGGTCACATTTTGCCGCTCCGCTGCTCAAACAATGTTTCACTGATCAAAAGTCCCTGAGGTAATTTTGAAGGTACATGTGTTGAGATGATGTGGAGCAATTTTGAGGCAAAACGGTGAAACGGCCGAGGAGTCGCCGCTTTCCAACCGACATGTATGAAAACTTTTGCTGTTCATTTTTCCATTTTGCAGTGAAATTCATGGGCTTCCTGTTTGTCGGAGGGCGGGGCCATAATATTTTTTTCTTGTCTTGACTTGAGGAACATGTGTGTAGAATTTCATGACTCTACGACAAACTTGATCTCCAAAAGTCCCATAGGGGTATTATTTTGGCTGTTGTAGGTGGCGCTGTTCTGGCATTTTTTTGAGTCCAATAAAAATAAACACCAAAATATCAAATTTTTCGCCAGGTCTGATTTTTGGGCAAAATTTAACAACTTTCCATGCATGTTCAGGGGGTCAAATTAAGGCTCAAAGTGCAGAAGAAAAAAGAAAGAAAGAAATAAGGAATTTTTTTTTCAACGTCTCGAGCAAAAACAATATAGGTTTCAATGGCACGTGATACATCATTTTAAAGCGTTTGACTTTACGCACGCTACTGTTCGTCACGCACCGCCACCATTTGTTTTCACCATTGTGAAAGCAATAGGCCCTTACCCCGTTCGGGGCTCGGGCCTAATAAGATGAAGACGACATGTTGTGGTATGATTCATTCACAACATCTTACTTACTGTTTAGACAAATAAAATGTATAATCTTCAGAAAAAAAGAAAGTTCCCAGGGTATCTCAGCTCTAAATAATGTAAATCTTATAATGGGCTACATAACCTGTAACGGAATGGTCAGCAAGAACAGCTTCACTTGGTTGTACATGAGTTTATGTAAATAATTTCAACTCTTACATAAATATCAGCATCATTATGTCCCTTGGCCATGAAGTAAGATTTCATTCAGGAAACAACATGAAAGTTAAATACACACACAGTGCTCGGACATTAACTAGTTGAACTGCATCATGTCCCTTTTGGTAAGAATACAAACAGTGAAAACAATTTTGTTTGCAGCTGTAAAAACAAAGTCAAAGACAAAACAAGTTTCAGCCATTACTGCTTGGAATTATATGAAATATGTGCTCGTTTAAACCAATGTATGCAGAGTTTGAGTTAGAACAAGAAGAAAGTAGGATTGTCATATTTTTATCCCTTACACAAGTCCCACACAGTTTTGACCAGTTCAAAGACACACAAAAAAAGCTTTCAACACTCGTCGGCACGCAGCAGCCCAGAAAAGTAGGTAGTAACTCTGTTCTTATTACGACTGCCTCCAATCACACGGCGTCCAGACATCTCGGCAGTCGTAAGGATGCGGTCCATTTCAGTCTTGTGTAACAATGTGCAATGTGTGCATCCCTCATTAGTCCAGAGATTACAACAAATGTGCATTAAACACCCTCAATGTAACACTAAACATACAGCGAGCACGCATGAACATGGAGCACAACAGAAACATAATACAAAGACAATAAAAACATTAAATAAAACACATGAGTTTGGTACAAAAGGAGATCATGAGTTTGTATTGCTTTGGCGAAGTTTGAGTGCAGCCTCCGAGTCTCCATGACCGGCTGTGTAACAGTAGAAAACAAGCACGTAAAATGACTTTGCTTTAAGGCAAGGTGCAGGACCTTCACCAAGAGTCTTTCCTCATCTCCAGTGTGTTTTCAGCTGTTTTTTCAGTGCAGTCGTCACTGTACAAGGCCTAAGTCTGTGTGCGCAGGGAAGTCCTCTTGGTCCCATTTCCCCGGAGACAAACACTCTTCTGTGTTCAAGTCCTGAGGGTTCACCCCAATGTCCAGCACCTGGGGGTTAGTGCGAGACTCAGCGAGTCTGTGGGGAAGACAAAAAATAAGGCACAAATATTAATAACCATATCCTCATAATTTTTTTTGTGTGAAATCCATCCTCACATAGAACTGTATGTCATGAGGAAACGAAAGTGCACTGAGCAGATGGAAGTTCACAAAACATAGACCATGGAAAACCAAATAAAATGTTATGTCTATTATGACAATGTTACTTCAGTCTTAGTGAACAATGAAAAACCACGACAGATGAGCAGTGGTGGAATTCATTACACTCGGCGGATGTTACCTGAGTTGGACTCAAAGCTATCCAGACTGCGGCTGAGGGTGCAAAGGAAATGCCACAATGTCAGGGATAATCATTGTTTACTCAAGTTCATGATGTGATTCTATCAAAAACAAAAAGTCTTCCTTCTGTTTCATTCAACATAGAACATATGGGAACGTTCCTCAGTTTTAAATGAATAAACTCTTTGGACCAAGTCTACACTTCTCACATATAATGTTGACATCATCTTTAAATACATAATCACTTCAAATGTCATGATACACTATGGCCACTAGATGGCAGTACATGGTCACAAGCCAATAAAGAGCCAGAAAAATACCATCTTCAACTAAGAGGACAAATGGTGCAGTAAAAAAGAAAAAGTATGAGTAAATCGGGCAAGATTAAGTTATATTCTGCTTTAAATATTATAATATACAACTATTAGCTCTAAGTTACCTTCTCTTTGGTGTTGTGATCAACAGAATGCCCTTAGTTCATCGGGTTGTAAATTAAATAATGAAATATCTGCTTGCAATATCCTGTGTTGAGTCAGGACCATTCTTCCCGAGCCACAAATTGCCAAATGAAGGATTATAATAAGCCACTAAATATTACAGTATTGACCACCATTAAGCAAAGGTACAGTATATGCATTGTGCAAGACTAAATACTGTGAATACAGGCTTTTTTAAGGCTTTGAGAATTACATGTTCTGTATTATTTTTCCATTTGAGACTAAAACAAAACAATGTCTTGGCTCAATGATGAATGATAATCCTTAGCTGCATCCAAAGCCTTTGACAGTTAATGGTCTATGAAACTGCAGTATGTCCTTGACCATACAGAGTTGAGAGAGACCATATTCCGAAAGCGTGTTGGTAAAGTGAGCCAACAAAAGCAGCGTGACTCAGCCTGGGTGTCTCCTCCAGCCCCAGTGAAAGAAGTCCAGGGAGAGGCTGCGTTTAGCACAAGAGTACGCAAACCACAGGAGGCCATTTCAGCACAACGCCCTGCCTGGACTTGGCACTGTTGCCGCTTTAGGGAATACATCCTGCAATTATACTACAAATATACTCACCTAGAGAAAGCTTCATCCAGCCCATCCTCCAACTCCTGTTGACCCAAAATATGAGTGATTAAGGAGTATTTAATAGCATTTCGTCCACTTTTTTAATTTGACTTATGATAGGGACATTTCTCTGCTGCTATGTAACCAAATACTAATAATGCATTGGTTTTATACAGCGCTTTTTTGGACACTCAAAGACGCTTTACGTGTCATTCTTCCTTCACTCCATACAGTGGTGATAAACTACTACTTCGACCACAGTTGCCCTGGGGCACACTGACAGAATACTGTATAGAGCAACTTTGTCAGTAATCAGCCCATGTTTACCTCCAAGCACCCACAACTGTGAATAGATATTGTGCATCGCTAGTCAATTATTTACCACTTATTGTCCTACCATAGATATATAATCCGTCTCTACAGTTAAAACCTCCACAAAGAAAGTGTCACGTCTTACCCATACAGTATTGTTGTTTTCTGCAGCGTGATTGATCTCCATGAAGGGATCAGAATCCGTCCGTTTTGTTCCTGAGTGGACCAGCGCCATGTTGGCCCCTCCTGCCAAATCTAGAAGCTTTCCTGTGGCTGCCTCTGAAACACAAAGTACAAACAAAACAATGGACATGATAAATGTGTCCATGAGAGATTTCCACACACCCTCATTAGAGTCAATGACTGTGTACATTAGCGGAGCGTCTCCGGGGGCTCGGACAAATTATCTGGATAAACATTTAGAATCTGACACCACTCGTCTGTGATTCATGACTCCCAGTTGATCATTCATATGCAGTAACTCTATTGTGTATTCATTTATATAGTGTTTTATTATACTGTCAAAAGGCCCTTCAGTGGCACAGTTTCTACAAAGTGTATGTGAATGAACAATACCAGGTGAAAATGTATTTATCTGCCAACAACTGCTTTGTCTCAAGGTTCCTTTTTCTCCATTCCATTTGTTGTGTGGAGTATCCGAGCCGCTAGTCCTGAAGGGGGTAATCACGTCATGTCTTTGAGCTGGTTGATTGTTGTTTAATGTTCATATGTCTGCGCACTACCCTCATTATCTACAGGGTTGTGCCTGAAATTATCAGGTCTAGTCTCATGAACAAAACTGACTCGCGTCCTAGAACGAGACACTTCTCCAAATGGCTTAAAACAATACAAAAATTGAATTGTTTTAAATGATTTTTTGCAGCTGACCACCAAAAAGCTGACTTATTTTGGTTGACAGAGCTCAGCCTTGAGATAGAAAAGTCGGGCGGTTACTGACCCCATCATAAACCCAATGTTTTGGCACTGAACTGATTAATGAAGAGGATTATATTGGAATGCTGTGTTTTTCAGTCTCCCGGAAGGATGATCAGTAAAAACACGTCGTCATGAAATCCAACACAAAAAGCTTGGGTCATCAGCATAAATCCACCGTCACGTCAGATTTAGGGAGATTTAGGGCCAAATTAATCACATTTCATTTCCGTTTTAGATTCAACATTGTGAGTTTAAGTGGAAAGGTTTCAGTTGTGTTGCCATTGAAAAGGTAGGAGCAGAAATGAGCAATCGGTACAACGAAGCAGTAAAAGGCTTACAGATTTAACCCCGTTCTGAGTAAGAGACTTCATTGTATCATTGCATCATGCCACTCAGTCACGGATAAACTACAGACAAAGATTTTCTACATCAGTGAACAACGACAACAACACGTGTAAGTAGGTCTGACTTGCATCTTAGACCCGGAACCTTGAGAAAATATAATGAGCAATGAGGTCACATCCGACTGTATACACTGCACCCGTATGTCTAAGATTACCTACAGTATCTGAATTACGTGGGTTTGGAGAACAGGAGATAATGACGACTCATCAATACCATTATATTCAGAATAACCCAAATATGTCATTGTTTGTTCATTATTTTGGTTGACATCTTTCATAAAAGCCAAGGAATGAGTACAAATACTGTAGAGTGAATATAGGCCAGATTGGACTGGACTCTGCCCCAGGCTCCAGATGACCACCTCACCTCCTCCCTTCAGGCTGCACAGGCTGCTCATGCTCTCCGACTGAGAGGGGCTTCCCACTTCTCCGTCGGAACCAGATTTCACACGCTTCTCTTTTTCTGCCAAGACACAGAACATAGATCAGGTTAAACTGAGGCAAGAGCACGGCAGAGAAGTTTGATCTGACTTAAAGTTGTCAGTGTGGTTGATTTACGATGTGAGCGGATCATAAACTGCATTTAGATGGACGATGCTAACCCCGAGCTGAATAGGGAAGTGCTCGTGGACGAAGTTTTGCTCCAACTTGCTCTGGCTTCACACTCCATATTCTTCAAACTCCTCCAGCTCAGTAACTGTTTCACACTCACCATTTTGGGCTTTAGAAAATCTGGTTTAGCACCTTATATGATCCTAGAGTTTACCTTTTGATGAGGGGGGCGACAGTAGCTCAGTTGGTAGAGCATTGGCCTTAAGGCCAGAAGGTCGTGGGTTCAATTCCCACCTCTGCACCTTCTCCACCGACTCCCACTGATGACTGCTGTCATTGTGTCCTTGGGCAAGACACTTAACCCCACTTTGCCCAAAGCTCCCACTGAAAGATCAAGGCTATGCTCACACTCAGAGAGCAGCCGTCCTCCTGTGGACTCACCACCTGCAGAGGGTCAGTGAGGGGCTGGTGCTATGAGACTTGGGTGGCATCTCTGACTGCCACCCCCCTGACCCAGAAATGGATTAAAGGGTGGAAAATGGATGGATGGATGGAGTTTACCTTTTGATGTTGTCTTTGTAAATCCAGATATAAATCTATACAAGTGAAACCTAAATGTTACGAAAACAAGAGTCTTTCTGTTGGGACAAACAAAAAAGATATTTCACCAAACCTGTAAAAGAACACCGACCACAGAAAGGTCTGACCCACAGCCGTCTTGCGGTGAGATGAAAGTGCTTTCCACTCAGCGTGAGGTTTTTAGATTATGAGGTTTTATCGCTTTTAATCCAAAAAAGCTACAGCCGACATAATTCAAATCTGAACTTGAATCAATATATTGCTGAATTAATTAGGCCTATCACAATGACACATTAAGTGGGATGATATTTTAGATGATATATTGCAAGAAAAACAAAAAGCAAACAAACAACAAACAAAAAGGCTTGAAAAACATTTAAATTGGGCTTTAAAAAGTTAATTCCAACTAATCAATTATTTTCAAAAAATGAACTAATTAGTACAAATAAAACATTTCTACAGTACATTCAAATGATTTTATAAAGTATATTTATATAATATTCTCCAGTGACATAATTTAAGCTTTGTTATGAAGGAAAAAATTCCGATATTCACTGAGCTTGTGGGTTTGAAAAATACATTTAACAAAAGAATAATTGGCCAACTAATCAATTAATAGAGTATTTGTTAATGACCTCCCTACATTCAACCATCTACAGCTAAAATGTCACAAGAAAAAAAATACTAAAAAGTCCTCCAGCTGAACAAATAAAACCCATCTATTATAAATTCCTGAACAATACAGCAACAGGCAATATCAATACTTGCCAAGTTTAAGTATCAATCGAATACGGCTTCCATCTTTAAAACATTAATTTCTCCTGAAGGAAACTAAATGCAAAGAAGGCAAGAAGCACATGAAATAAAAGGTAAGAGTTCCACAAATGGACCAACTGAAAGTGGAGATAAGGAGCCTATCTCTGGCAACACCTTTGAGCCACAGCGAGCCCAAAATGAGAACAACACCTCGTTTTCCCCGAGGCCTGGAGCTGTTGTGCTGACAGCGTTAGCGACATATCCCTGGGAGCAGACGTCTCCCGCGGTCTCTCTTTGCAGCCTGTCGCTTCACCAAATTCGGCCTCGACTGGAGTTAAAGATATAGCAGTTCAAAGCTGCCGAAGCATTTAACACGGAATAATTTGTGGCCTTCTTATGAATAGCAATGGGATGTGCATCTTACGCAAGAATGTGGGTCAGGAATGTGTGGTGGGCTGAGGAGATCCACTGTGGGAGGTGGAAGATGTGGCGAGAAAAAGAGCAGAAGTACACGTTCAAGTCATCTTTTGTAAACTATCGGTTTCAAGATGCAGACTTTTGTAGGTTACTATTCTTCTCAGGCTACAGGAAATGGAAAGGACGATGGAATAGATTTTCTGTAAGTCTGTCAGAACAAGACCATGGTGCCGGGAGGTGTCCATGGTGCCGGGAGGTGTCCATGGTGCTGGGAGTTTGGTCTTGAGATGCAATTTTATTCTTTGGCTTTTCCTTTTAACTGCGTGTATCTATTTGTATAAAAAGGAATTGTATTGTTTCTTAAAATGTTTTTATTATAACCACCGTTGTACTTCTTTTTGTACACACATAAACCTGGCAGACTTGTACATTTAAATTTGTACTTTTGACTCTGTTCATCACTTTGGAGACCAGTTTTATAACATGTGCTATGTTTATATAAAGTGGATTGGATCTATTATAATATCTGTCGAGGGTATTACTAACTTTAGCCGGTCTCGAGTACATGCTCAGAGGCGACTGCAGTCAACTCTCTTGAGCTGATTGTTCCTATAGTCCGCAAAGTTAACAAAATAGTCTTTGTGACAATAAGCATTTCTCTTCTTTAAATCCTTTTTTTTTTTTTTTTTAAACCCACACTTTTGTGCACTAAACAAAAGTGTGGGTTTGTGCCATTAGAACAAATGGGATGAAGCGAGACTAGTTTAATGCCCAAAAGTGTGGGTTTATAAAGGAAGGTTTAGTTTTTAAACAAATGCATCTTGGAATGAAGGTGCAAAAGAAACTCTGGAGTGCACACAGCATTCATATTCACACATACAAAACAGGCTAGTTTTTGGAGCTAGCAGCCAGTGCCCAACTTCATTTATGTTTCAAAGAGCACATGGACTTGAATGAGCAGACATCCTGGATCCCTGTGACTTCACAGTTGGTCCAATCGAGCTGGACTCTGACACACTATTGTCTGTTGAGATGTGAAAGCACCAAACACACGCTCAATCAATACGTTTCTGAAGGTTATAGTAAAACATTTCCAGTATTATAGCCCCAGCATTTTGTTTACAAACCGTATTTATGGTGATCAATATCCAACTCCAAACTAGCGCTGTAATTAAACTATTTTGATAATCTGTTAGACGAGCCATTATTCTCCCTCAATTAATCCGTCCAATAAGGGACTTTTAAAAATAAATGTTACCAAAACAAAGTTAACGTGAGGCCAGTCAAGATCATTCACAGTGACTAGATGTAACACATTGGTTGTTTGATTAGAAATTGCTTTTAAAATGACTTTCATGTCATGCTTTAATAATTCCTCAGCATGTCCAGGTACAGTAAAAATAAAAATAAATGAAACAATAAATTACTAAATTAGCAACAATTTCAAAAATTGTCGAGTTGCAGTTAATCAAGGAGCTTGATACAGCCTACTCCCAACACTAAAATGGGAGCAGATATGACAAATGTTGTAGGAATGTTTGCACAAGGACCAAATCCACGTGCTTTCCATGAGACAAAAATCAATTGCATCGACAGCGAGGCTCAATCTCGTTGTGACACGCAGCACAATTCATATTCTCCACTTCTGTTCTGCTCTGCGATTCTCCACGTCTGTGGGTGCCCTCAGCAGGCAGCCCCCTCCCCCAAACCCCATCTCATCTGTGCACTTTTCCATAAAACAGAGTGCAGAGGTTGGGGGGTAGACAGGAGGGAGAAAGGAAAGGTGCCAGATGCAAAAACAAAGAATATTCATTTAATCCACAGTCGCCAATGATGCAGAAGAGGCAGGGAGTTGGAGAGCTCCCCTGTCATGGGCTGGTCTAAACTGGAATCATACATGCAGTTGATTACAGGCTCTGCTAAAGAAATACTCCATGTGCCATGTTTTAAATTCTAAAATATTCATCTTTTAATTGATACAAATCCCTTGGCTTTTCACACAACACGACTCCGATCCATTAGCTACACTAGTCTCTTATTGTTTCCAGTTCTCTACAGAAAGTCATCCATCTACAAGAGCTCTTTTGTCTACATTATTCTATACGATCAAGACAAATGCTTTTAACTCAGCACTTTCTCTAGATTTAAAGATAATTACAGGAGGCAGCAGGCATTGATGAATTATTATGGGAGTATCAATGCTTGCGTACATTTTCTAATGCTTTTTTGAATGTGTAACTGAGTAAGTTTTCTCCATTGCCTTGCTAAATATGAAATAGTGAGGGATGCAAATCACATGGCCCTGGTTAATTAACATATTAAAACTGCACAAATGTTGAAGGCGTCTGAAGAATCTCCCAATGTACATTTAAAATTCATTAACTCTCGATTACAGAGGAAAAGTAGATGGACATAGAACTACTTTGAAATCAAAGTGTATTTCAAAGTTAGTGCTTGGAACAACTTCAGAGATGAATAAGTGTATTATATGAGTATAATATGAGTATTTGGGCCTGGGTCTTGTCAATGTTGTGGCTTGTGTTTTATGAGGGAGCTGCTACTACTACTAGATGTCGACATGAAAAGAAAAACCACACTGCGCTCAACATAATATAGCGACCGTAAAGAAAAGGTTTACATTTACTCCAAGGAGCCCACCCCTGCCCCAGGGTAACCTCCACCCTGCACCACCTCAGTCAATACCTACACCAGTGTTTAACCATGACTGAGCCTCCTATAATCATGAGGCCTCTCTCAGATTTATGCAGCACATGGGAATAGGGTCAGTTCAACGGCAAGATTGTTTGTAGTGGGGAAAAAAAAACGTCAAGAGAAAAAGGGATTTATGTTTCTTGGATTTTCAAAAGACAAGGTGGGGAAGAAAAAAATACAAGAATCGTGTGATCCTAGAAACTGCCTTGACTTTACAACGCAAACACAATGTCTGAATACGTGTACAATAGCTATAGAGAGTACAGGGGGGCTTTTCCACTGATCCGTCACACTGGGGTGGTGGGAGCGACCATGCGTACCTTCTTTGGCTGCCTGCCAGAATTCAAATGCCACTCTGAACGCCTGGGCCACAGTGAGGGTCACGGCCTGGGCCTGTGGGAGAGGGCAGAGCACCATGAGTCAAGGGCTGTAAAAAAAGAAATCAACAACAGCCTCTTCGGGAGGAAGTCCACGCCGACACAGAGATAAAAACAGGAAGTGAGCAGCAAACAAGAGGAGATTAGAGCGGAGGAAGAGGAACCTGCGGCTGCAAGACAAGTTGTTTACGTAGTTGTAAGGATAAGTAGGACTATGGGTCAGAGCTAAAATAGTGAAGGGAAGGAAGTGGAGGGAGTGGTGCTTCGGCCGCCAGAGCTCGGGGACGTCGGGAATGCCGCTGTGTAATGACACCTTCTCTGTGCACTGCTGTTTTCTACTGTGGGAATATCCCTGTTCATAAGCACTCTGTGAAGTGTGGTAAGAAATATGACATTGTAGGGTTGTCCCAAGCATTGGAAATCAGATTTAAATTATACTAATTCCTAAAATCTCTTTTTAAACTGTTTTATGTTAGAATGTTTGAAATTAATATTAATGAAACAACAGATACTAGTCTAAAGTATGGATCATGTTTTATTCATTATTATAATTATTCATATTAGAAATATTATGACAAAACAAGACAAAATATGGCATTTCTAAAAATAGAAAATCTAATTTGCTGCATTAGAAAAAAAAAAGATAATTTTTCAGTTTTGGGGTTTACGCACTATGCTCGAAACATTTTGTTGCTCTCTGTGACAATGATAACAAATTTAATCTTAAAACTGGTGGTATTTTTCCTAATATTGAAATCGAACTTGAACTTTAGTATCATGACATTGATTGGGCCTGGCAGAAGAATTAAAATACCAACTTCATATTCATATTTAAATGAATAAATACAAATTGTGAATATTTAAAATCTGAAGAAGATGCAATTGTGGGAAGATGACTTTAAGAAAATACAAAGATATTTGAGCTAAACAGGGTGAGTAACTTCCATGGGTTTTTGATGTTTGTTTCCACCGTTTATAAATAATATCAATACTTAATATTACTTAATTTTTTCTATTGAGTCTTTCTCTCAAATGGCAATACAAACATATTACAATTAAACAACATCAAATAATGAATAACATAAAAATACAGGACAAAATACATTTAAAATCATCTGTATTTTTCTGGATTGATGTTTAGCCGAGTAGAAAGTCTTTGTCTGAACAAGAAACTCACCATTTTTTTCTTGGTGCATAGGAAAGCGTGGCACTGTAGCGTCTCGTTGTGTTGGCTCTGGACAATGTAGGCAAACACTTTGTCGTGCATCTTGTCTGCTGTGCAATAGGATATTCTGCAGAGGATGGAGAGAAATACAGTCACACACTCGATCAAGTCCTCTCTCCCCAACTCAACGGGGTAACACTCTGAAATCTTCATCTTGGAATCTGATTATAATCTTTCAGTCCAATATTTCCCCAAATGGCTGCGTTTTGGAAAAGAATGATTCCTAAACATTCCAGCAGAGTTTGTTGTGTGACAGTACGGTGATCCTTGGGCAGATTGTCCAGAGGGCCGCGGTCTCTCTGGATCCAGACAAGCTCTTCAGAAACTACATTTAACACAAAAAGTATTCAACCTGTTTTAAGAAAGATATGTTTTAAAAGTTGGGCTATAAGAATTGATTGTAACTGATTCAATGATTCAATAATCAACAACTATTTATGATAATCAGTGAATTACCAACTGCTCTAGACACAGACTTCAACAGATGTGAGTGCAATAAATGTGATTTTCAGACTCAAACAGAGCAGAAGAAAGGTCAAACAGAGATAAAAATGGCATATTTATTTTGGATTCTAAACAACTAATGAATCAAAAAGATATTGACATATTTATTAATTAAAACACTAGAAGCGTCATGTTTAATCATGTTACATTGTTCATCATCAAAAAACAGACCTGGAGTTGATTTTAGCTCGACACACCAACATCACAAACTTCTGGCACAACATGTAACTCCGCCCCTTTTCTTCTGCCTTTTTCATGAACAAGTAATAACGATCAGTTGCATTTCTTCTCTATATCGTTGTCACTGCTGAACATAGCGTGTGTCACCAGCGAGAACAGCTGCGTCATGAACGCTCCGATTTTGGGAGGTTGGAAGATTACTCAGATATCAGAGAGTGTCAGGGATCGCAAGAACGCTGCATCAGTCCATCAACAGTACGATGTCCTAGTATCAATGTGACACTCTCAGAACAGTTATCTGCTTTTTAAAACAAAAGTATTGACCCTAAACAAATTTGTACTTTGCAATCATGTGTGTTTGCAGCTGGTATATTTCAACTCAGGAAAAATCAAAATGAATTAAACTCCTCTCTGTGGTGTTAGAGGCAATTACAGATGAAAAATGTTTCAATTTTTACCCCTTTTTACACCCATACTTGATTTATAAAGTTTATCATAGGTTTACTCACATTCTCTAACATGAAAGGCCAAATTGTCTCATTATCATTGTTAATGGCCATAAATACTAATACTATATAATGATTCTTATCTAAGTGTAAAGGTTTTCATGAAGTCAAACCAAGTAACCAGTCAGTCAAGAAATATTTTGTGAAATATTGTTATTGTACTTGAAAGACAAGTCATGGGCCGTAATATATTATTTAGGAGGCCCTGATTTGGGTCACGGGCCGCGAGTTGAACAGGCTGTGGACAGTGGTCAGTTTTACCAACACTCATACAGTGGCTCCGATAAGTTTAACTCCCACTCGCAGCAGCTCTCGAATAGCTCTAAATTACAGCTGTTAGACTTTCCTGAACTTAACGGTGAGGTCTGTTGTGGCTGCAGACTTGTTGCGTTACGACATATGGGGGAGTTACTCGTCTTGATGCAGAGGCTCGAGTGCAGACGGAGACTTAAATTACCCGGGTCAAAGCAGAATGCCCACATCTATGGAGGAGAGAGAGCGCCTGCCATCTGTCCTCTCTTTCCCCTCTGTAAAACTGAGATCCGTGCACAGAGCCGTAACATAGCATCACACAAAAGTTGACTTGTCTTGTTCTCTCTGAAGCGTATATTTAGCCCTGAATAATTGAGCACCATATGCAAAGAACTCATTAAAAAACGGAGACGCAAGATGGCAAGATGTTTTAGTTCTATGATTGCAACAGGCGGCTTGCATCAAACAGCGTTCTATATGAAAAAGAAAATCAATTACTTTCAATTACCAGCAGTTTTCAATTTACACAACAACTGAGACACCTCTATACAGGTGAAAATCAGAAAGTCCCATTTATTTCTGCAATTCCACTTGGGTTCAAAAAGGTATGTACTGTAATTGCCCTCACTGTGGGACTAATATAAAAGGTATCATTCATTCATTCGTTCTCTCTGAATGAATGAGAAAATAATCACTCAATACACAGAGATATAACAAATGAAGGCTTGTTGTAAGGGTGATAAATGGCTCACAGCTTGAGATAATTAGAATATGTTGATGACGCACTTAAAGCCATAACCATTTTTATAACAAACGTTTGACAAATGGTGTGTAATGATGTCGTTTCCTCATTTGAAGTTGAATTAGATAAATAAATACACTTTGGAACGACTGTCTAATCAGTGACTTTTCTTTCTCCCAACAAATATTAAAATGCGCACCTGTAAATGGAAATGTTTTCGATGAGCTGGTTGGAGGCACTGTCATAGAGGATGATTCCACGGGGAGAGACCGTCAAAGTCACTTTTTGGAGTTTCTTTCCACTGGCTTTTGCCTACAGGAAAATAAAAACAGAAATGAACCCAATCAGTAAATGCAAGTGAGAATGCGTTAGGGTTGTCCAGAAATAATGCACAATATTAGGTTATATAAGTATCTAAACCTATGAAACTCCAACAGTTGGTAATCAATTATATAACTAAGCAGTAAAAAAATAAGACCAACACTCCAACCCTTAACTATACACTTCAGGCATATATTCAAAATATATTGATGTAGACAAAAAGAGCTCTGGACTGGTTGTGTTGTATGAGCAGAACTGGAAAGATAGTGCTAGAGACTTTCAAGGCTCCAGGATTCCCTTGAAAAGAGGTTCCTGGTTGAATAAAGGTTAAATAAATAAATGGGGCGGATGGAGCTCTGAGGTAACACATGTCGACTTGACTGAACATTTGAACAAACACAAATCTTCCAACCAGCTGATACAGACATATTAGATTCAACTTAATTGTCATTACAATGTGAGAACAATGCAACAAATTTCAGTTTAGCATCTAACCAGTGCAATAGAACAAGTATAGGATAATATTTACAACACAGATATTTATATATTTGCAAAGCTCAATATATCCTTATTGTCCAATATCTGTAACCTTGCCTGCAAGCTGAATTCTCGCGGTATTTGTGAGTTCACAAATACTCGAGAATACATCTTGCCCCGCTCCCGCCAACCCTTTTCGAGTCGAACATCTAGGTGTTCAAGCCAATCACGCGCCAGTCTGGGGGTTTAGGGCGGGATATCCGGGTTTGACTAAAGCAACATAGCTGAGGCTATCAAGTCAGTTTTAGCAGAATCTCCAATTTCTTTTTTGAAAGATGAACAGCGAGAGGCGCTTTGTGCATTTCTGGACGACAAAGTTAAACCTTGGTAGGCAGGCACACAGCGTCACTTCGCCCAATCAGCTTGAAGTATTCTGCTGCTTATCCCTCTGTAACGGATATAGAAATGCACTTTATATTTTGTTTGTTTAATATTTGGTTGTATTTTATTTTAACATGTAATATTGTGTGAATTTTATTATTTTGACGTTTTATTTTGAAATTCCTGCTCCCCTGTGTTCTATTTTGGCGCTCAACTTCCCCTCTCAGAGCCGTGTTGAATGCTTCAGAGGGTGAGTTCTGTCTCTGTGAGGGATACGTGTTTTCAATCATTTGGCTTTATTTTTTGTGGTGTTCATTAGGATATGTTTAGTGGGAATTGTATTGGGCTGTAGTGAGCGTGTTTTTGCACATTTTCTGGCGCACATTTTTAGTTCTTCTGTACTTTTTGTTTGACTAGCTAACCATGTGCTCACGTGCCGTTTTCGTTCTGTAGGGGGGAGCCAGAGTCCACTGTGACTGACTTGTGTGTGTGTTGTCTGTCACAGGTATGTTTTATTTATTTTTATGTAAAAAAATGTTTTTATTTGTGCATTTGTATATTTGTTTTATTTTCACTTACATTCAATTATTATTTGCTCCCCTCCCCCTCTCGGAGCCGTGTTGAATGCTTCAGAGGGGGGAGCCAGAGTCCACTGTGACTGACTTGTGTGTGTGTTGTCTGTCACAGGTCTGAATAAAATAGTCGACTCTACACTGTGTAGCTGTTGTATGTAAACGGCTCGTAGACGAGGTTGCAGCCGTTACACTGGTGCCGTGACCCTTTGGATCCCCGATCTGCTCTACGCTGATCACCGTGGTGCCCTCCTGTTGGTCCGCTCTTCACTGCTCCTGGCCTTGGTTCTTTTGAAAAGTCGCGTTTGCTATACAGGGACAGTTTTGGGTTTTCCTTAGCGGTCATAAACTGTTTTATTTTGAATACACAACGCAAGTACGATTCATATACGCATTTGAGTAATTGCAATGGATGATTTCACCACACCTATGTTGCCTAAAGGTAGAGGGTTGTGGAGACGTGATGTTGACTGTGGGAATGTGGGACGTATAAATGCCATGCCTGAAGGTTTTACAGGTGGTTGTGGGTTCACTGCGGACGATGTACAGACGTCTACGCCCAACAGTGATGCTAATGTGGTTCACCAGCTTACTGATGTAGTGGCGCAGTTAGGTGCCCAGATTGGTGAATCGATAGTGGCTCAGTTGAGGTCAGCTGGTGTTGTTAATCTGTCCAATGATCAGAACCCATCTCTCACTCGTTCTCCCACTTGTGACGTGACTAAATGTGACTCTCCCCATGTGACTGTGCATGTTACACCTGATCGTGACTTACAGTCATTTAAAGGTGACGGTAGTGACAAAGTTTCAGTTCAGGACTGGATTGACGTGACAAAGACTTACCTCAAGAAGAAGGGTACGCCATTACATGAACAGGCTGAAGAAATCACAGGACATTTGCTGGGCAGAGCGAGAGATGTTGTTAAGATTGCTCTCCGTGGTGACCCCGATCTCAATGTTTCGGACAAGCCCGCAAAAATCTATGATATTCTTCTTCGCTATTTCAGTGATGCCCCCTCATGTCTCCCCCTCGCGGACTTTTACGGCACCTTGCCGAGACACAAGGAGAATCCAGTGGACTACTGGATAAGACTGAACAAGGCGGCTGACAGGGCACATGAAGGTTTGTGGAGACAAGGTAATGCCCCGAGTAGTTTGAACAAGGAGGTGGCTCTCATGTTTGTTAAGCATTGCCCCGACCCTGAACTGTCCTCCACATTTACGTGGAAACCCATCCATGAGTGGTCCTCAAAAGATGTCCAGTTGAGAATTGACGACTATCAGAGGGAGTTACGGGCAAATCAGAGAGCATCTGGTACAACACAGCTGGGAGTGCATGCTGCTGCTGTGGCTGATGAGCAGTTTATTCCGTCTCATGTTGCAATACCTGAGCAGTGCCGTCCAGCTAGTCATCTCCCTAATGCTAATGGTGCATTACAGTCTTTGCACAATCCCCTTGGTTTTGCCTCACTCCCCGCATCTCAAGTTGTGTCTCAAAACAACCCGGACACTTTTGCCTCTGCCCCTGTTGTGCATCAAAACCTCCAACTGTCAGAGGAGAGGTTAATGAGTCGCATGGTTGAAATGTTTCAGGGAGTGCTGGATAAGATGCAGCGGAACAATGGGCCCCCTCGTGTTCGCCAGCGCCGTGCAAGGGAGCCATGTTGCAGGGTTTGCACTGACACAGGCCATTCAACAATATCACACTGCATGTCAGAAAGGCTCTGCTTTGAGTGCCTTGCCCCCGGCCACACTAGACCCAAGTGCCCCAATGTAAAATCTGAGTCTGCCCCTCCCCAGAACCAGGGAAACTAGCTGACCTGTATTTTGCGGGAGGCGGTACGGGTCCTGAGTTGAACTCCCAATCCAATACATGTTCTGATGCAGAATCCATCTATTCTTCAGCCCTAGAGTCCAGTCCTGAGCATGAGACTGTTGTGTACCAGAATATTCAAAAAGTGGGCAGTAGTGATAGCCTTTTCTACACAACTGTGTCGTTCAGTGGTTCAGTGGAAATGGGTGGGATGCTGGACAGTGGCTCTATGGCCTGCAGCATTAGTGAGGGTGCAGAACATAAGCTGAGGGAAGCTGGTGTACTTATTGATGCAAAACGGTTTACTGCTGAAGTGGTTTTGGTGGGCTGTGGTGGGCTTCGTGTTAAACCCAAATGTGCTTTTGAGGTTGAGATGGAAGTCTACGGTTGTAAAATGTTAGTCCCCACACTCGTAGTTCAAGGCCAACATGACGATGTGATTCTTGGTGCAAACGTCATTAAGCATGTGTTACGTCAGTTAAAACAGTGTGATTCATATTGGCGAGCAGTGTCCAGTTCTCCCAATGACGCTGAATCGCTGCAGTTTCTGTCCATGCTCGCAGGTTTGAATAAGTGTTATGGTGACAACATTCCAGACAAAGTTGGTACAGTGCGCTGTAACTCAGCTACTTGCCTTGAGCCTGGGCGTGAGTATTTCTTGTGGGGTAAACTTCCCAAGGGTACACCTGTGTCCCCAGGGACTACTGTTATAACCGAACCCACCTCCTCACGCTCAGCTCCAAGAGGTGTTATGGTCGCCAAGCTCGTCACTCATCTGTGGGGCGATATGTGGGTCCCTGTCAAAGTCATAAACACCTCAAGCAGAGCCGTACTGATCAGACGTAATGCTAAATTGGCCGACGTACACACCTGTATGGCTCTTGAAGATATTGATCCTGTTGAGAATTACAATGTAACTGAAATGTCCAGCAACCAGATGACAACTGTGCAAACTACTAATCTGGAGACTGTCAGAGGTCAACTCCACTCTATGGGCTTATCTAATGTTGATGTTGACTCATGTGAGGTATCAGATGGATGCAAGAGTAACATGACTGATCTAGTTTTGCAGTATCAAGATATCTTTTCCCGTCATCATCTGGACTGTGGAGAAGCGAGAGGCTTTGTGCACCGCATAAGACTGTCTGATAACAGACCTTTCAGACTCCCTTACCGGCGCGTGCCACCGAGCCAGTACCATAAGCTGCGACAGGTATTGACGGAGATGGAAGAAAAGGAGATTATCAGTAAATCTAACAGTGAATATGCGTCACCGCTGGTGCTTGTATGGAAGAAAAATGGGGATCTTCGTATTTGCACTGATTTTCGATGGCTTAACAAAAGGACATTTAAGGATGCGCACCCCCTTCCTCATCAGGCAGATTGTCTGGCAGCACTTGGGGGAAACTGTCTCTTTAGCACCATGGATTTAACATCTGGCTTTTATAATATGCCGCTCCATGAGGAGGACAGGAAGTACTCAGCCTTCACCACTCCAATGGGGCTGTTCGAGTACAATCGCCTCCCGCAAGGCCTCTGTAATAGTCCCGGGAGCTTCATGCGTATGATGACAAGCATTTTCGGAGATCAGAACTATCTCAGTCTTCTTTGCTATTTGGATGATCTCCTGGTCTTTGCCCCAGATGAAGAGACCGCACTGAAACGCCTTGAAATGGTGTTCAGTAGGCTACGTGTTCACAACTTGAAGCTTTCGCCTAAAAAGTGCTTTTTCTTGCGGAGGTCCGTGAAGTTCTTGGGCCACATTGTTGATGAAAGTGGTGTCTCAACAGACCCGAGCAAAGTTGAGAGTATCTCCAAAATGTCTTGTGCTGATTTGATGGAGCCTGACGGTGTAACCCCATCCCCCAAGCGTCTGAGATCGTTCTTGGGCATGGTGAATTATTATCAGCACTTTGTACCTGGGTTCTCTGCCAAAGCCAAGCCCCTGTTTGATCTCTTGAAAGGCGAGAAAAAGAAAGGACGCACCAAGTCCAAACTCCAATACAAAAAGTTGTTTCCCACTGACTGGACTAGTGTTCATGTTCGAGCCTTTGAGAACCTCAAGACCTGTCTGTTGGATGCGGTAGTCCTGGCACACCCTGACTTCGCACGCCCCTTTGTGCTCTCTACCGATGCCTCTCTAGATGGTATTGGTGCAGTTCTGTCTCAGGTCAAAGATGGTGAATCCCATGCGAGACCCATAGCTTTTGCGAGTAAGTCACTGTCCCAATCTCAAAAGAACTATCCAGCGCATAGGCTAGAGTTTTTAGCCTTGAAATGGGCTGTGTGTGACAAGTTTAGTCATTGGCTTAAGGGACACAAATTTTCAGTTTGGACAGACAACAATCCACTAACTCACATTCTGACCAAACCAAAACTTGACTGCTGTGAACAACGCTGGGTGGCGAAGCTTGCCAGCTATGACTTTGACATAAAGTATGTCCCGGGCCCGCAGAATGTGGTAGCCGATGCTTTGAGTCGTGTCCCCTTTGTCAAGAGTCCCGTAGGCCAGAGGTTGTTTGCTGAGCCCGATCATAGCCTCCTTGGTCAAGTCAAGGACATGTCGAATAGTTCTATTCAACATGCATTTCGTTCTTCCAGTGGTTGTGGTCTCGTCCTGTCAAGTAACCCGCAGTCTTTGGGCCAAATGCAGTCTGACGAAGTCTCCGCTGTGTTGCAGTCACATGTATGTTGGGACGCTGGCCCTAGAGTTCGTGCCATTGCTGCCTTTCAGAGTCTTCCACAGCTTGTCACTTCTGGGATTGACACCCTCCCTGCATACTCCAAACAAGAGCTGCGTGACAGTCAGCTTGGAGACAAAACCGTATCCCGTGTCTTGTTCTATGTGGAGAGGAAACGGAGGCCAACTCGAAGAGAGAGAGCCAAAGAGCCTGTCTCTGTGATGAAGTACTTGAAGCAATGGGAAAAACTTTCTGTCAGTGATGGGATTTTGTACAGAATCTCAAAAGATCTCAGGACTGCGTCTAGACGCCACCAATATGTTGTCCCCGATACGCTCAAGGCAGAGATATTGCGTGGTGTACATGATTTGGCAGGTCACCAAGCCCAGTCCCGTAGCCTTAGTCTGACCCGGCAGAGGTTTTTCTGGTTAACGCTGGACAGAGATGTGAGGGACTATGTCCGCAAATGTCAACGCTGTGTTGTCAGCAAGACAGCTGATCCTGAGGGTAGAGCTCCATTGGAGAGTATTGTCACGTCCCGACCACTTGAGCTCGTATGTATAGACTTCTGGTCTGCCGAAGATTCTCGCAACAAGTCGGTTGATGTACTAGTGATCACAGATCACTTCACACGCATGGCACAGGCTTTCCCCTGTAGAGACCAGACAGCCAGGCAGGTTGCGAATGTCCTCTGGAACAAATACTTTTGTGTTTTTGGGTTCCCGGAGAGGATACACAGTGATCAGGGACCTAATTTTGAGAGTCAGTTGATCAGTGAGTTGCTTCGAGTCTCAGGTGTCAAGAAGTCCCATACCACACCATATCACCCCATGGGCAATGGTTCTGTAGAGCGTTTTAATAGAACCCTGGGTGGGATGATTCGTGCTCTGCCCCATGAAGCTAAAGTGGATTGGCCACGCAGGTTGCAGACGCTAACCTTTGTGTACAATTGTACTTCCCATGAGACTACAGGCTTTCCCCCGTTTTATCTAATGTATGGCCGTGTGCCCCGTTTGCCAATTGATGTGATGTTCAGGTCTGTCCTTCATGATTCCACTGTGTCTGGATATGATCAATATGTTGAGTCCCTTGTTGATGATCTGAAAGAGGCCATGGTGGTTGCTCAGAACCATGTAAAGAAAGAACAACACAGACACACATTGCTTTACAACCGGAAAGTGAAAGGATCGGCCATTGAAATCGGTGAACAAGTGCTGATGGCAAACAAAAGAGAGAAGGGTAAAAGGAAACTCGCTGATAAATGGGAATCGACAATCTACACTGTCCAGGATGTCAATCATGTAACACACACCTACAAAATCAGTGACAACAGCTCCGGGAAAGTAAGGATTGTCCACAGGAACCTTTTATTGCCTGTCAACTTCCTCCCTGTTGAGTTAGGTGACACCTCGGACATGGATTCAACACTTGCCAGTGGTTGCTCAGTTCAGAGTATGGATGGGACTGAACCGGATTGTGGAGGCGAACACGAGCCTGTCCGAGACCCGTCTGAGTCGGCGGACACTGAGATACGGACTGTAGCGTGGGTTACACAGTTGACGAGCCCAGACTCGACACGGGCAGACGTTGCTGACCTTTTTCCCCTTGACAGCCCGAGTCAAGCTGACTGTGACTCATCATGTGTGATTGGCTCTGTCTCCAATACTGGGACTGGACTGTCTTGCTCTAGTTTTGACAATAATACTGTTTTTTCTGAACCTACTCTTGACCCACCTGTGACTGCCCCTGTTGGTCATCCCCAGATGCGCACTAGGCTCGGTCGTTTAGTTAAACCTGTGAACAGACTTATACAGAACATGTCTCGCCAGGATGTTGTTCCGGACACCTTCAACGTCAAGGATGTTTGCAGAACTGTATTTCAGGCCCTTACTGGTTGAAGTAAAACATATGTGATTGTTCTCACAATTTTGACTGTTTGGATTAGTTCGGTTTTGTTTTGTTTGTCCCACTGTCATACTTTGAGCTGTTTGTTTTTTTTGTTTTTTTTATGAAAATGGGGTTTTGTGGGGTGTAGAAGGCACCCTACTGCCAGTAGCTGGGTTGAGGGTTTGGATCCCCCCTCATTCCACTTCGTCCCCCAGGGATGCTTGTGAGTTGGTTTTCCTTTGGGTAACCCCTTGGTGTTGTTATTTTCGTTGTGTCCTTGAAGGGACATTCCGTGTACCAGTGGCTCAAAATTGATAAAATTCAGTGGGGGTGGATGTAACGGATATAGAAATGCACTTTATATTTTGTTTGTTTAATATTTGGTTGTATTTTATTTTAACATGTAATATTGTGTGAATTTTATTATTTTGACGTTTTATTTTGAAATTCCTGCTCCCCTGTGTTCTATTTTGGCGCTCAACTTCCCCTCTCAGAGCCGTGTTGAATGCTTCAGAGGGTGAGTTCTGTCTCTGTGAGGGATACGTGTTTTCAATCATTTGGCTTTATTTTTTGTGGTGTTCATTAGGATATGTTTAGTGGGAATTGTATTGGGCTGTAGTGAGCGTGTTTTTGCACATTTTCTGGCGCACATTTTTAGTTCTTCTGTACTTTTTGTTTGACTAGCTAACCATGTGCTCACGTGCCGTTTTCGTTCTGTAGGGGGAGCCAGAGTCCACTGTGACTGACTTGTGTGTGTGTTGTCTGTCACAGGTATGTTTTATTTATTTTTATGTAAAAAAATGTTTTTATTTGTGCATTTGTATATTTGTTTTATTTTCACTTACATTCAATTATTATTTGCTCCCCTCCCCCTCTCGGAGCCGTGTTGAATGCTTCAGAGGGGGGAGCCAGAGTCCACTGTGACTGACTTGTGTGTGTGTTGTCTGTCACAGGTCTGAATAAAATAGTCGACTCTACACTGTGTAGCTGTTGTATGTAAACGGCTCGTAGACGAGGTTGCAGCCGTTACACCTCCTTTCCCCAAACGGATTCTCCTGCAGAAGTCCCAGATTGATATTGTGGAGAACGCATTAGAGTTCTACACAATCATCAATCTGGCTCTTGCCAGGTTACAATATCTGTGCCATAATCAATATTGTTATTAAGCATTTGATGAATACAAGTGATTACGCAAGGCTTTTGTCGACATTTGGCTGGAGAAGTTGCAAGCAGGTGATAGATTATTCCCAATCAGAGCCTCTGCCAGTCATGAAGACAGCCCCACGCTGCCCTCTGGGTCCAACTTCATTATGTATCCCACAGCCTGGTCGAATAGCAACTACTTTTCTACTTTTTTTAAATCACAACTGCAAAGCCCAGACGTGGACCAACACAACAAATCACATAAACATCAAAACAACGCTTCCTCGTCATCACCCTCTCACCGTGGCCACTATCCTCTTGACAGCAGCCGCAGACAGCTCCTCTCCTTTGGGCTGCTCCACCATGGTGACCCCCAGGTACTTGAGATGGAACACCATGCCCTCCAGCAGAGTCTCCCTGGTGTCGGTCCAGTTCTCCGGCAGCTCTGAGGAAACACGCAGAGAGGAGGTTGTTAGGGAAGGTGCTGTCAGCTGCGTGTCACCGAGTCTCGCTTTTACAATACACAGGTGCAGCAGTCAAACCGACATAATGAGAACCCCCGCAGGAAAACAAGGACACATCGGAAGAACTATGGAAATGGGAAAGAGTTCTGCAACAAATCAAATGATGGATTTTAAAATTGAATGTTTTAGTGGAGGATGAAATATGGTCTAATCTAGGGCTGTACGATTTGATTGCAATTATGTTTTTATTAAGACGCTAAGAGCTATGTTCAAAAGGCATTTGGAGAAATAAAGTTTGAGGGAAAATGTTCAGTTGTAGCCTGGCCTTAGCCTGGCAGTATACTCCGCTCAATCATAATTTCCCTGCATATAACATCTGGGTCTGGTCCCTGTGTTTGCGAGCGCGGGAGGCGGGTGTTGTAGTTAGTTGTGGGAGACGTCACGAGTTTGCGCCGAATGGGCTAGATGTAGTTTGGCAATGGCGAAGAATGCGATAGTAAAGTATTCCGGTCTGGTTCTATCAAGAAATTGAAGCCGGAGCAAGAGGAATTGTGGCGCTACTCCTCACGGGCTGTTAGCGGCAAAGGAGGTGGCTAAATGCTAAAGAAGTAAACTCAGATCCAATTGTTTCAATCTGCAAAAGGAGTTAACCCCTCCCTCCTGTTAACGGAGCCCAATGGAGCACTTCCAGACCTTAGTACGAAATGTAATTTGTACTATGGTGTGGTACGACCAGGCTTGTTCAGTTGTATTAAATTCAATTTGTTGAAGCCAGTACTCATTTAAGATTCCACTTTGCAGAAAAATAAGTTAGATTAGACCAGGCTTGCAGTTTCCATCAGAAGATATAATGGCCAAAATGCACTCAGATGAAAGAATATATATATAATTTTATCTCTTCTGCTGTTTTTGACATTTGCAGCAATCTTTTATGATGCATCTCTTAACCCGGGTAATAGTTCTTAACACAGGGATTTGTATAAATGGCAACAAGATGTACAGGAAATTATGGAGTTATTTTATTGGGAGAAAAGATCCACTCTCAAAAAAGTACGAGGCTGACAAAAAGTTGTAGATTCATACTGTTTTGACAAAAAATTTCAAGTAATCGGACCGTGATTGTATTAAAAAACTACCAGTACCTTGTGATGACCTTGATGATGCAGCAAACTACAACAACATACGGCTCATTATCCACAAACATGCCATTGTTTTAAGAACCTCTTTGTTTAAACGACTAAAGTTTAGCAGTTACTCTGAAAAGTCGGGGATGGAAGTTGGACAGGTGCACACAAGCATTTACAGCGGTAATAAAACTACAGGTTGTTTCTAAAGCTCATAAAAGGTTTATGGTGTGGTCACAGTGCTGCACGATGATAAGATGCAGGAGAGAGATCCATTTGTCTTCTTTAGAGTCTCATCAGAAATCTGTGTCCCCCCGGTCCCCTTCTGCCTGTGCTCCTCTCGCGCAAGATTATGAACAAACAAATCTACAAGAACCTATTTTTCCCCCAAAGTCAAAGCTTTTACTGGTCAGTCTAAAAAATCTTACAACTAATTATAATCTGTTAGTGCGTCTCTGCAATTCCAGGTATAGTAATTTATAGATCAAGGCACATCCACATACATTAGACATGATGTTAAACTATAGACATTAGACTATGTTTGTCCAAAGTATTGCAAATCAGATACTGAAACTAGACACTCAATTGAGGAAAAGAAATCAAAGACAAAACGTGATATTCTTTAAACAGCTTTTGAACTATTTTTGATCTATATCAGAAGCCGTATAAAACATTAAGGTACCAGAAATAAACCATGATGTGGCGTAAAAATCATGCCTAGTTTTTTTTTTTTTTTACAGTCATACTTTTTTTGACACTCAAAGACGCTTCACATGTTATTATTCAATCACTCCAGACACGGTGGTGGTGACTAAAAAGATGCACACTAGGTTAAATCCTCCAGCTCTGGCAGCCGAGTATCAACATCTGGAGATGGGTTACCGGGCGCTGTTACTACGGCAACCACTGCTCCTGACGTAAGCCTTAGTGGCATCTGGATGGGTCAAATGCAGAGGACAAATTGCCCTACGGAGATTAATAAAGTGCAACTTTACCTTTACCTTTGAACTACTAGATTAGCCAAAGCTGCCCAGGGTCACACTGACAGAAGCGAGGCAAACAGTCGCAACCATCGACCCCTCCGACCACCACCACCATTCAGACACACACCAGACTCCTTCGAGGCATTGAATGTTGAAAATCACAGCTTATCGTTAAAACATATTCACTGTGGTATTGAAATTGGGATTGTCAAGTATCAAGTCATTTTAATATTTTCATCACAACACTACATATTAGACAGATTTTGTATATACCTCAAGCAAAATAAATACAGCTCTCAACTATTAGACCAGGGTAAAACGCCAATTCCAAACTCTACACAACACAATTGTACTTTACCTCCCAGCGCACTCTCGCATGGAACTCATTAAACCATGTACTAATAATAGACCTTGCTCTCCCAAACGCAGCGCCTGCACCCTGTGGTTTGAAATGCACCCCATATAAACCTGACCAAGCTGCACTTAAGTTAAGGGCGAATCCAGCAGTAATGGGTGTTCTCAGGGTCAAGGTCCACGAGCTCCTAAAAGCAGGGGACGCTCCTGTGCATCGGCCCCATATTGACATTAGAGCCTGTAAGTACTAGTCTGGCTGTAACAGTATCTCCGGGGAGGGATTTCCTGGCTCTTCGTGACCTGAATTGAGTTACCAAGAGGTCCACAAGTGCCCAGAGAAAGTCCTTAATGAGGTGTAACCACTTAAGAGAAACATGAGGACAGAGTCGGCCTGAGCTTTCTCCTCGCTCATCAGAACGTTAATCTACACTAATTAGAATGTATTCATTAGATTATGTCAAGGGAGTTTTTAGGTCCCTTTATCGCCGGTGATATGGTTGGGAATGTGACAGCAAGTTATCACAAAGAGAATGAATAAATATGAATTGCAGGTAGGAGTGGTTAGCATATCGAGGTGTCCTGGATCTCAGCGAACGATATCTTGTGCCAGAAGGAAGAAGCTGGAACATGGCTTTTCCAGGGGTGGCATGAAGAGTCATTGATTATTCTTTGAGCTCGGTTTAAAAATCTGGATGTATAAAAGAACCTCCAGAACAGACAGCTCACAGTAGTCTTTCCACAGCGGAGCAGCTTGTTCAGACTCAGAGCTCTCCTTTCTTTGTCTGTGAAGTCCCCAAACCACACAGTCGCAGAACCAACAAGCAAACTTTCAATGGTGCAGCTACAAAAGTTAAGCAGAATCTTGGAGTTAGTGGTAAATTCTCTAAGTTTTCGCAGAAAGCAGAGGCGCTGATGAGCTTTCTTAACGACCCGGTTAGAGTTTTTGTCCCATTTAAGGTCGTTAGACAGAGTTAAACCCAGAAACTTGCACTGGGTTTGTATTATTTTATTATTCTGACGTTCAATAATGCTGTGATAATAATAGAGGTGAAACTCAGACGATTAGAAAGTTGTTCAGTCCATTTTCAGAATATTCAACCATTTGTGATGTTTTACCGTATACAAGTTTTTTGCAAGGAAAGGCTTAAAATATCTTTGTATATAACTTTGTGTGCAATGGTTTTTACAAGTTTACAGAAAGCAGAAGTGAGAAGTGAGAAGCGTTTCAAAGAAATACTGACATAGATGAGAATGTGATCATAATCTTTAAGACGCTGTTGACATTTTGCCTGCTACATTGTGACATTTTATCATACCACGTTCTAAACTCAATATTGATGTAGCAATACTAAAATAAATTAGATTACGCACTTCATGTTCAATATTTGTTTCCGAATGTCTTTGGGCCACTTTTATTTTTTATTTATTTTTGCATTGTCTCTACTTGCATGTGAAGCCAACAATGAGCAAATAAAATCACAATCCCAACCAGAGACCACTCAAAAATGTTTTGTCCTCCACATTCCTACTGCGCTGTACTTATTTATGATGCTAAAGTCAGAGTTTTAGTATTCACTATGATAAGAGATTTTATAGTTGTTTCATCTTCATCTTTATTTTAATTTTATTTACTATAGACTTATTGTTCATTTATCTTGTGCTGTGTGCTCCTCATTCCTACTGTTGCGTAACCGGTCATGCAACACTGAAATGTCCTCACTGTGGGTCGAATAAAGAATCATTTAATCTTAATCTACAAACTAAGTAAGGAGAGGGGGCGGGCCGGGCACTCTTGGCGATAAAAAGGGAACATTTTCACCATGATGAAATGCGCCCCAATAGATCATGAAGACTGCAAATACCGAACCAGAGGTGATGCTTTGTATAAGAGCAATAATTCATATTCACACCGGCCACATTTGCATTCACACAACCAACCCCCACCCGGGCGGCTCTGTGCGGCGCTGGGCTCATCAGAGGAACATCAAAGACACGCTCAATGTGGACAGCGAGACGCACAACAGAAGGGACGCTGCCAAGACCTGCACTGGCCAACGATGGATCAAGAACAGACTCTGGAGTTTGGGCCTAGAATAGGATTTCTGGTTAGGGTTGACTTCCAGCTTGTTTTTCCCCATCCAATTTATCTCAAAAAATATAGGCACGCTTAGACTAAGGCTGCCTCAACACATCTGGGGTGAAGGCATAGCAGAGTCTCCAAAGGGAAATGTCAGCCTTGTTCTATAATGCTGACTAACGGCCAAAACAAAAACTTTTCTGGTGGAAAGGTTTTCAGCGGCTCAAAAGACATGCACTAGATTTATGCTTAAAGTTCTTGTTAAAAAAGAAATTATCCAATTGGGTTAAACAAAAACAGTTACATCAGAAATGGGATATTTATGGCATTTCCAAAATAAATAAATAAGATGAAGAAGATAGAAACGCCATCACTTTATCCTTACACTTCCAAGCACAGGCTGTTTTTTTTTTCAGATTAACAGTTGTTTAATTCAAATCCAA